TACTTTTACTGCACCTAACCTGGTTACATGGATCTCTTCAATATAGCTATGACTTGGATTGCCATAAAGTCACCACTCATTGTTTAACTATCACATAACCTAGGATGAGTTAGATTATTATAATGCAGGACTTCTGCACGTTTGGCCCAATAGACTTTAATGGAAACACGCGAAACATGTTTGTCGGTTTCCATTAAGGTCTCCCAATCTGCCAGCTGATAAGCGCAACTTAAAGTACGCTCATCAGACATGCGCAAAATGCACAAAAACACGTGCAAAACTGCAAGACAAAAACGTGCGACAATATGCTAGTCACCTAGGTCTGAACGGGGCCTTAAGAAGTGACTATGCCTGTAAATGTTACTTAACTGCAGCAGAGAAAATAATTAGGCCTTCTACACTCTCAGACAGCTCTGTGCTGTGTGGTAGAGCTATGCAAGTATCAGGACAGAATGGACAGACATACAAACAGCTCTCTTATTATGAATGTATTGATAGTTTCCTCGCGGTTCAGCTTAGTATCATGAGATTTAGTTGTTAATACAGTTGAACAACACTTGTGCCATGTGTAACTGTGGTGTTAACACTTCAGCAAGTGAGGTATTCCTGCACTGCACAGAGCCTCGGGATTGTGTTTCATATTTGTGTATATAGTACTTGGGAATTGGAGCGCTGGATATCTAGTGAGGTCCTGAGATGGCATTGTTTGAACTTTGAACTGACGTTTCTATTATTGCCTGTCGCAAACTATTCTGGTTCTGTTATAAAAAGTGAGTTATAAAGATGGATTACCCTGTTTGTGTTGCAAACTGCAGTACTGCAGTTAAAAATCTAATTAACGAATAACTTTCTATCTCTGCTCGAGCTATATACTGTACTCGCCATTCACTCCTGGCATTATGCAACAATCATTTTAAAAACAATTTGCAAGCTAGGACTGTAAATTCATCCTTTTCCCCCCATCTTCAAGCTGGGTGCTTTGATATAAGTTTGCAGCAACTGCGTGACTGTTTAATTTTTTTCTGAAGTTATTGGTCTAGCACATGGCTCAGAAACGTGAATATCAGTAAAGATTTGCCAAGATCGACAATTTAAATATACTTATGTGGACGGTATAACTGCATCCCACATCGGAGTAAGAATGTGCATGAATTTGGGTAAATTCAATTGTAACTTTGTTAGGTTACTTTGCCTAAAGATCAAATTGTGCATATGCATATATATATATAGCTATATATAAAACTTAAAGGAAAAAAAATAATTTTGGTAAGGTGCTATACTTCATAAATTCTATTTGCCAAAACAAACAAAAAAATACTCTTTCTGGATGGCGTAAATATATTCTAACATTTGTACTATTGCTTAACCACTGAATTTGTTGGCTATGATCACACATCCTTAAGGTATAAATTACACAGTTCAGAAGAGAAAAAAACAAAAAAAACAGCAGTTTGGGAATTCAAACCAACCAGACGTTTGTGAGTTCGGCATGCAGGTCCATTATATCCATATTATTCTAAAACATATAGACTCATTTGATATTACAAAATACAAAAATAGTTTATGAGAACTTTCATTTACATTCCATTTACAAGGAGTGCATAAAATAACTTAAAGTTTTAGCATTATCTGAGAATTAAAATACTTGAAAAAAAAAATATGAGTGCCAAAAAAATAAAAACTAAATTTAAAGGAGGGAGAAAAAAGGGGAAAAGTAGAGAGTTTATGGTACGGCAATGGGGTCAAGCAGCATACTGTACGTCTGGGTACGGCATACATTCAATACTAGAGCGTGATCTCTAGCTGGACCAAAGCAAGGCAGTATTTTTGGCGGACTGAACTATTGAAGAAATAAAGTGAAATGTGCATTAAAACCCCAAATTCACTATATCAACAATCAAGGCTATTATATACCATATATTGTAATTCAGTCTTGAATTGCAAAATGGTCATGATAGGGAGAATGTACAAGGTCGTCTTCTTTTGTTATAAAACAACAATGTTCAAAATATGGACCGGTCTACAGGGATGAATTAATTTACACATTAATGCGTTGGTCTTGGGAGCAAACACTAGGAAATGATACAATTTTTGCTCTTTCTCCTTTTCCTGCTATGTAATTGTCCTCGGCCACCCAAAGTGGAAGACTTGGGTATTCCACCGGAACATTGAGCATACTGATGCATAAGATCATCGCTAGTTACGTATCTCAGACGGGTTGGCTGTGGAATTGGTTCTCCTAAGAAATATCCTTCATTGTCTGACTCTGACGAAGAGGAACAGGTAGAACACCAATCATATTCGTTCATGTGTTGGCCCCACCTATCACAGAGATGGTTTTGTAATGCCAGATCTGAGGCAGTTCTTTGATACCGGTTGTACATTTCTCTTCTGACAACTTGATCCATCTGACCTCCCCTTTGTTGCATAAACCGTTCATAGTCCTCTCGGGCTCTCAAGAGTGGTTTTTCTTTCATTTTACTGCACTGCTCAGTAGCCAGATGAAGAGCATTGTCCGAACGAGAACGCCTCGACCTCCTTTGATGATGGCGGCGATAGTGCTGCTCATTTTCTCTTGACTGTGTCCTTCTCCTTGTCCTTTCACTCATCGGAGCCATTTTGACACTCCCCTGGCCAGGTATGTCATTCACAGCATCATCAAACTGAAATGATTGATGCATTCTTAGCTGCGGTGGAAGGTCCCTGTATTTTCCAGGGTTACCCAGATCGCGAGCCACCTCTTGATACTGTTGTGCCGATACAAGACTCCGGACAGACTCAACACTGCGGAACTGAGAAGAAGAGTTCAGGGTTCCCATGTTGCTAATTTTCTCTGAAACGTTCATCCCAGAATCTTTGCTCAGATCTGGCATGGAGAAGCGAGAGAGGTGTTCTTGACGTTTAGGACCTCCATCCATGGACGCACCTTATAAAAAGAAAGACAAAGAAGTATTGTTAGTTCAAAGTTTAATTAATACTGACAATTAATATAGAGTAAATATAATTGTGTATAGTTAAAATTGAAACCAGACGTTTATGCTGTTTACTTACTGCTTATGTATTAATATAGCAGATGTTACAACAGAATCTTTATTCGCTAGGCACATAGAACATTCACATAACACAGCTGTAAAGATGCACTAGAATTTTATGAGAACATAATAAATGCTTATGTTTATGGGTTATATCTAAAAAATACATTTATTTCCTCTATATTGGCCACCTCCGATTTTACTGCTGCTGTAGAGTACAGGCAGCTGGTTTTGCTTTGTCTCTCTTGCACCAGTCATTGTTAGAATAGTGGAAAGGCTGACTCTCACATGAGGCAGTAGCTACAATTTTATTTCAATGGTCAGCCACCTTCTCTTTTGTATTATGGAATTTACTAAGCTACAAACTTTATTTTTAACAGCTCTAACATACACAGGTACAGCACAAAGCATGATGACCTCATCATTCTGCTGCTTAACCTTCAGTGTCTGAACATGGTATGGGGGCAGAGGGGTGACCAGACTGTACTGTCAGGTCACCGGTGTATACCTTAGCACTTGTTAGAAAGAAATGCAAACCCATTAACAGGCACCCATATATATATATTTCAACTGTGCATGAAGCCATTTGCTTGGAGATCAGCTTTAACTTAGTAAGCTACAACAAGTATTAGTAATGCCAATAATAAGATGGCAGTAGTGGTAATTCCCAGCACTGAATAGCAGCTATCACTTAATTTTCTATGTTTTAAAGAGACACTGTGTCTACACACCCCCCAGGAATGTAAACTTACTGAGCCATTCACTTTTCCCCAATATCTGGTATTGGAGCTTAGAAAGGGGGATGAAGTCATGACACCTCCCCTGTGCGACAGTGTTGGGCTTGATGATTGGCAGCTCAGGGCTGAGTTCTATCACATAGGGGGGTTCATGTGATCCCCCATACACAGAAAACTAGCTCTGTTAGCGGAAGCTCTGGCAGTGAGTGTGACTGAGTGAGTCTACGTGACTGGGGTGGCAGTGACAGACATTATTTGTAAGAACTAGAAAGCCCCCAGTGCGTCCCTGCACCTTATTAGGAGGAGTAGGCTATCTCCAGGTACACCTGCATGCAATCTATCGACTTCATTAATATGCTCACACTTGGAGACTCAGATACATAGAGTTAGGACCACACTTTGCAGAGGTGCCTTGGCGCGGCAGTGTGGCTTCTACATATTTTTGGCCAAAAGTTTGTGCAACTAAAACCTCTGATTTTAACGCATACTGTTGACAGGGCTACTTGTTTGGTTGCAGGCTGGCTGGCAGGTTGGGGCTGGGGAATTTTTGTGTTTTGTATTGTTGTAAGCCTTCCCATTGTGCTCCCTGCTATAAAGGCTGGTTATGGATTCATGCATGTACCACTTCTTTCTAGTTTGACTATTTTTGGTTAGGGGGATGCACTGGGGTCCCAGCGTGCATTTTTGGTTGCTGGGCCCCCAGTGCGTCCCTGCACCTTATTAGGAGGAGTAGGCTACCTCCAGGTACACCTGCATGCAATCTATCGACTTCATTAATATGCTCACACTTGGAGACTCAGATACATAGAGTTAGGACCACACTTTGCACGGGTGCCTTGGCGCGGCAGTGTGGCTTCTACATATTTTTGGCCAAAAGTTTGTGCGACTAAAACCTCTGATTTTAACGCATACTGTTGACAGGGCTACTTGTTTGGTTGCAGGCTGGCTGGCAGGTTGGGGCTGGGGAATTTTTGTGTTTTGTATTATTTGTAAGAACAATGTTAAAATAAATCTTAATGAGTCCTTCCTACTTGTACTTTAGGTTACAAAAGAAGGTTGAAAAGTTTCACAGAGATCTCACCTCCAGAGACTTAAGCAGAGATAAGAATCTTGAAGGTGATCCATTCTACCAGTGTGCAACCAAAACTGTTATATAAATGATTGTGGACTGAAACAAAAATCCATAGACCAATCCTTTTTCAGAAGGTGAGGAACCAAAAGGAGCCACAACATAT